CACTGCAGCCACACCCTGTATGCATGGTGTTTGCTCTTTCAAACGAAACATGAGTTTGTCTCGTTATGGCTAGGTTTACGATAATCGTATGTCAGCCCTCCTTTGTGATATTGCTGTACAATTTTGCTATCACGCTGGCTTCATTGACTGGCTAAGCAATCGATGTTTCGCCCTTATTCATGCGTGCTCAGAATAGATCGGTGCACTTATAGACTTCTAAATTTACACATTACTTTTCATCCACAAAAAGTCTTTGAGAGCGAAAGTTATGGGTTAATACGTGGAATATATCATATCACCCACCGCTTCAGTTGAACCGGCGTCATAATTTCCAGAAGGCTCGAGTGCCGCCACAAAGGCCCTTTTGTGTGCGTGGTATTTGTTGTCCCTTTTATGCCCCCTCTAAGGTAACCTTCAAAGGTAGTATTGTATCGCACAAACACCTGCTTCCTGAACAATTTTAAATGTCTCCCTACATCAAACACCTTGCATCATCCACTTCAGTCAGTGCGTCAGCCCAAGACCAAATTGATTGCGAAAATAATTAGTTCTTCGGCAGTGTTTTTGTGTAAATGACGTCCACTAATACCTAATGCTAAAAGATGGCATGATAACTCATCTAAGCGGGTGGTGCTGGAATATGCAGGTTTCAATTACTTATTGTGGTCAAACGAAAAAGAGTGCTAGTCCCTGTGGTGTGTTTTGGGACTTCGTACGTTGACACGGCAGGGATGCGTAGCACTACGCATGGGGAGCCTCAACCTTTAAATATAAGTTTTCGCCTAGCAGTGTTTATGATAGTTCTCGTATTGAACTCGTGAATTTTCTATGCAGTTGCTCCGCCTCTATTCAGAAAGTGACAGGCTTTCAGAGCCTTCTTTCACGTATATTCAGGCTGGTCGTTAGCAGCTGAGTTTTATGGCCGCTAAATCATCGCTGACGTAGATGCTGCGTATGGATCTTAACGACGTATTGTGGCAGAGATGCAGGCGCCTCGGGTCCACTAACAAACGTTGTCACAATGCATAAATACTGGTGCTTTATAAGTGTGTCGAGCATTTTGCTCCATACTTCTTCCGGAACGTCTGTTAGGCATGTTAATAAAAAGCCTTTACATATCATTGCTTATGTCTTATCACAAAATACGACGACGCCTAGGTAGTAGAGTCTGATTCGGGCGATGAAATTGTGGCCAACGTTTCGTTTTTCTGCGTCTTTAGGAATCGTAATTTCGGTATGGTCAAGTTTTACCGTGAAGGTAAGAATACTTTCTGAGTTAACTTAACAGACCTCCTAGAAATGCGAAGAAGAATTGCGTGTTTGATCGACGCCAGAAAAAGCAAAGCGAATGTCGGTAAGGTCCATGCAGATAAGTAGTGAAAACGCTTCTGTTAAAAAAAAAACGAGAAAATTTTTTACTCATAAAATTAGTACGTCGGATATTATTTGCGTAAACTTCTTCGAGACAAATGCTGGAGAACTTATTTGCACAAAAATATAATTACAAAGAGTTTTTATGCGTAGTAAAGTCCATGTTTATTGTTAGTATCAGCTTACAGGGCAAACCATGATATTTTGGTATCACTGATTATAAAAACATGAGTGAATTTTGAAAATAGTATGCGATGAGCACACACTTGCAGACACAAAGCTTTCTGAAAACTCTTTGGATGTCACAAGAATATGTTTCCTAGAAGATTTTAGGTCTTTCCTACAAGCTATAATACCAGGATATAATAAATGGACCGCCATAATTCTTAGTCGCGCTGTCAAAATAAAAGTTACTTGCACAATTTAGGCTGTCGGTAGTGTTCCTCTAAGGTGCTTCAAACTGACACACTACAAAATGATGCATACAAACACGGGCTTGTGAGTGTGTTTGAACGAGTATTCATCTTTTGGAGTCAAAGCCCGTTTCCTGCTGTTGTTGTCCACACATAACGTTCGCGTTAAAATACGCTTCCTCTTTTTAGATGACGCATAACTTAGCAATAAAACACACTTATGAATCAACAGAGAAAAAAAAATTGTGCTGCATCAGCTTACCACGGACTGCAGCGATGGCGTTGCATTGTCAGGCAATAACTGGCAACCAGTCACAAAAGTTCAACATCCTCATGCAAACGTTTCGTTGGTCATTCCCACGAATCCATATCTTTCGTTAAGGAACCCATATATTTTACGTATATTTACCACATGTTTCCGCAAATATATTACGTGAACAGGTAAGATTGTTTGAAAGACACACGAAACGTATCCGTAGGGATCCAGCTCAAAACGGAGGTAAGTTCTGTTGTTATAAAGAAAATGATATTACTATGGACGAACTTATACAACTGTGTCGAGAATTCATAGTGCTTACATATACATGGCCTAAATGAAGGTATATATTTACATATTAATATCGTAAAACGAATTTCAGATACCAGAAAAAGCACGCCTAATTAGAAAATAAAAGCATGTTAGGGTATCGTTCTTGTATTTCCAGTAACGTAGTTAGAGAAACAGTAACGTAGTTAAAATAACATAGTTAAAGCAACAGTTGATACGTTAGCTAGTTCGCTAGGAGCGGTTAGTGTTGCAAAAAAAAAAAAAGTCCGGCTATGAGAGACACCGTAGCGGTAGCCCAAATGATTTCGACCAACTTCTGACTCTTCAACATGCACCCACATTGAACATTCATGGGTCTCCTGTCATTCGCCTATGAACGCCCGCAGTCTTAAAACGAAGTAATATAAAATGTTCCTAAAACGATTGGGGAACAGAATGCTCTTAATTGAAATTTTATTTCGGGTGATGGAAATGTACGCTGGGTATCTGTATTTATATCTTTCCTCTTGGCACTCCTGGCAGACTAACGGCTTCGAATTGAATTCTGCTGGTGAGTATCAACACTTTTTTTCTGAGCCAAATAGAAGTTGAACATGGTGTATCTCTGTACACGTGCCATTTGCATACCCAGGCTTTTTTTTTGTCCCACTAGGATTAGTGAAGTTAAACAATGCTAAAGTGTGTTGATGTGTTCATTTCTGTGTGCGCATATATACACTTTATAGATTGAGAAAAAAATGGCGGGGCGGGGGGGGGGGGAGACTTTGAATCTCTTCTATCGGCTGCGTCCCTGCCTTGTACATATTTACCCGTGCTCTTGTGCTTCTGGTTTTCATGCAAGCCGAGCCATTTCAGGTACTAACAACTCTCCTGCACTCAAGACTCAAAAAAGCCGAATAAATATCATTATTTTCTACTACTCTTATAAGCTCAAGCACGGAACGCATGGAGTACAGTCTATTGTGTAGCTAACGTGACAACGAACAATAAGCTTAGAATGATCGACGCCATACGTGTCGATATGTAACCACTCTATAGCAGTGAATAGATTATTCGACGGGCGACAATTTTTCCCGCCGATATCGGCGAATAGTGTGCATAACTTCTACGCTAACTTTTGATTTTTCGGGAACAAGTTTGCTCAAAGTATGATAAGTATAGTGTTCAATGGCACGATTGCCATTTTCTTGCTATTACCACGTGACTATATCTAATGCTATGTTTTATTCAGAGTGCGGTCTTTCCGAGCCCCTTGGCCGAGTAATCAATGGGGACATGACATGGAGGCCTCAGGTGCCATGGTTGGTAAGGATGACGACCTTGTGCTTTCTCTTGGAGTTAGGGAGTTAGTCAATACAATAACATTATTCGCTCAAACAAGCATAACTGCAACGCATCCACAAACTTTGTTCGAAAATTGAGAATGTATCATCTGAATAAGACATTGCTTTTTTTTTTTCACAATGCTAATGTAAGGGAGAATTTTTCGCAGTTATATTCAGCGAAAAAAGAACAAAAACGTTTCAGAATAAATATTACGGGATCGTCAAGAAATAACAATATTCCGGAAAAATTCTGAACATATTCTTTTCTTCTAGCTATGATTAAAAATACATATAAACGTAGTTTCAATGGTGTATAGGTCACCTAAAATATGATTGTTTGTACTTGTTACCTCATTGTTACCGAAAATTGCGCTTAGTACCGATATATTCAATAGTATCTCTTTTATATACCAACTCACACCATTCACTTCTTCACCTTTGTTGTCGCATCTACCGCTGGTATTTTTTTTTTCAAAGAATCAACTTTATAAAGGAATGTTCGATTGTTTCGATAGCACGATTCATTACTTTCTTCGAAAGCAATGGTAGCACATGTTATCGGCTGCCTTCTAGCAGGAACATCGGTTCGTCTGTTTGGGAGAGAGAACTTTGAAGCTTTTTACACTATTCACGTGTGTCCCATTGACGAAATGGCAATGCCGAGTTGCTAACTCTAAATACTGTACTGAGCAGTATGTCAGAGTAAAAGAAACTTTGATTCAGATCGCCTCGGATGTTTTCACAGAGCGAAATATTTTCTCCAAAGTGAAAAAAAATGCCTTCCCCACTAGCATTCACATATATATTTAAGAATGATTAATTGTGAAAATACAATTGCGGCCTTTCGGTCGGACATCTTTCATAAGTCAAAACCCTACAAGAGTGGAAACATTTTATTTCAGTGAACAAACATCAATTTCCGACCAATTTCTGCATTGTTCTTGCCTTTAATGGTCCAAATGGCAATACTATTTTTGAGAAGAAATCATACGGCTACGGCTTGTTAGATCTTCGCGCTGGAGTTATCTACGGACACGGCATCTTTAAGGTCCATAGCATGCCTACTACACAAAATAAAAGTAATTCTTCCACATGAATGGCGATTCTGACTGGCCTTTTAAGCACTCTGATCATGTCTAATGCATCTCCGACCGCTATAATAGGCTACCAAATAAAAACAAAACATTTAGCAGGATAGGCCTTTGCACGAATTTAAGTAGGTCGTGCACAGTTTAGCAATACAGTATTCCTTTTCGAACAAATTTAGTCTTAAATAGTATACCCAGTAATGCGCACTTGCGCATTGCGTGAGGACTAAGAAACTTTTTTTTGCCGTTTTCGTAGGTGTACATCTTCACTGCGTCACAACGGGGAAAGGGGACACCATGTGGTGGTAGCATCATAACCAGGGACGTCATTATGACAGCGGCTCACTGCGTGAAAACGTAATGTATGAAGTGTTCTGTAAATGGGGACCCCTCGGGACGCCTTTTCGCTTTTCCGTAGTAGTAGAGTACGAAGTACTCTGAATTGTTAACAACTTTTTCTAAACACATGCGTTCTGCTTAGATTTACTCTCACTGAATGAATCAATCTTTTTTGACATATTTTGTAGTTCCATTGCTAACAATTTTATGAGTTCATCTTTCATGAAAAGTTGATGCCTGCTAATAACGGAAAGAAAGACGTACAATGTAGCTCTTAAACTGAAGACAGTGGCCTAATGAATTTGCATCATAGATGTAAATAAAGGTAAACTTTCAACTAATTTTCTGCATCACACAACAATATCACACGGCAGTGAATATTTTTTATTATTTTTCTCTCTTCTCAGCTTGCAGATACTGTTTCAACTTTCCACCTAGATGGCCTCGTCTTAATGGCAATAAAATGCGAGCACAAGACCTTCTCTCTGCATATACTCTGCATTCCTTCGGGGGTATTATTGAAAACTTCAAACGGTCGAAATTATCCCGAGTTCCAGAATACGGCTTGCCTTGAAACAATATTTATTGTTGGAGCTTTAAACGCTAGCAATTAGTTTGTTATGCATAGCGAAAGAAACCTTCAACATTGCCCTGAAAGGAGAGATAAAGGGCATGAGCGGAACGTTTGGGCATCTATACTGCACCACATCGTGGGAAAAATTGAAAAAAAAAAACGCACACGGTCCCTGATGCGATCAACCAAGACGACTGCAATGCGAAAGCTTCTTTTTTTCCTTTTATCCTTAGTCAATACATCGATCCCCCATTGTCACGTCCGGAAAACTACAGCTAATGTGATTTTTGCACTTTCTTCGGGTTAAGAGCGGATTTCACGTAGACGTACACTCATCGCGTTTTATTGGCCGATACCTCTTGATGTGACTCGTGTAACAGTGACAAAACAATGAAACACCTACGGCGTTTCTGTGATTGTTTTGTGAGCAAGCGCAAGGCTTTACGCAATGCACATAACAACGTAGACGAGAGGCCATTTTCAAAAAAGAAAGGCTAGTCTAATCGAGGCCCTACGGGTTGCCGGCCAACAAAGCAACGCTGGAATTGATACTAACTTCAAAACGACTGCTCCAGGCGACTCCTTGGAAATGCGTAATTAACTGAAATACATGTACCTTGACAAAGCTGTCTTCCCTCTTTTTTTTCTATTTACCCATGCATATAGGCTTGTGCATGGTACCACTTGCAGTGCCCCCTCCCAGTTATGTCAATTTGTGGAGTTGACTTTGTCTGCCGCCATGCTCTATATTTTGTATATACAGGTCGTCCTAATTATCCCGCAGCGCGGTCTTTAAAATGTAGGAATGGCGTTACGTGATGCAAATCTGGGGTATATTGTTCCCAGTGTAGTGTACCAGCTCCGACAAAATTTTTCTTTAATGACAAATGAATTAATACCATATATCTCACCTAATTAACTAAGCAAACTCACGTAATTATCTAATTGTCGATGAGGCCGTTGCTCGTAAAGCAGTGCACTGGTTGGAACGACATGTGTGGTGTACATTCAACAACGTACTAATTGCATGCTCTATTTTTCTTTTAATATAGAAAGCCCGCCAACTACGAAAATTAGCATGTGACTAGACCGTGCGCGCATGAGAGAAAAGCGCCCTCAAGCAAGCTCAATTTGAGTTAGCCAGTAGCAATAAAGAAAGTACAAAAAAAAATACCCCACCTCCCCGAAGGGAATCGTCACGTAATGCGAATGCATTGCGTCCATGATGGCGTTTCGCAACTGAGAACCCAGCGTTAGAGGAATAACGTTTTCTTTTTTTCTCTCTTACACCGAGTAGCCAATAGCGCCATTCACCGCACGTGGCGTATTTCTGTCGCTAGAAACGTGAAATACCTTTGCACCTCTAGTAGCCAGCGTGCATGGTTAAAAAATACTATGATCGAACCCACATTTCCGGATGTTCTAGAAAGGTGCCCAGCCAGCAAACGGTCGAGAGTCTGGTGCGAGCGCACGGGAAAGTGGAGCGCAGAAAGGGGAGAGGGTGAACTATGACAGAAATAACGGCGAAGCACAGCACCTACCCTCTCCTACGGTCTCTCGCACCACATGCCATAATCCTCCACTGCCGGTTCTCTCCACTGCCGGTTCTCTCCACTGCCGGTTCTCTAGCCTGCTTTTTCCCTACCAGCGTTATTGTATACAATGTAGTCAGCTATTATGGGATAGTATACTGAGTCTTTACCTTACTCATTGCCAACTCCACTTCATCATAGCAGCTTTCAAATAATACCTAATAGTGACTGGATATAAACGCGTCCATACAACCTTCATCTTGAATCTCTTATTGAGTTTAATTACATTACCTGCCAGCCTTTCAGTAATATTATAGTATTCTACGTGTTACTAGCTATATTTCTGTTGATATAAAACCCCCTGCCCCAGTTTTCAGTTGGTCAGCCAAGTCACGATAGCAAAGGGTGTGCCCGTTTTGTAGCCCTGTACAGGCCTCATCCGTCCTATTTCAACTGAGCCCTAATATATCTTATTTACCACCCTCTAGCTCATTGAAAACACAGCCTCTACGTACCCCCTATATAAGGTTCTAGCGTTAAACGTTGCCGAATTCTGGTTGCAATGATGGCCTGTCTGGACGAAAAGATTCTTTGCACCTTTTGCTGCGTCACATATCTGGCCACCACCATTGTCAGTTGATTCACAGCCGCTGGGATAGAGGGAACTTGGAATGGGCAAATCACAGATGTATGCGTCAAGGGACAACAAAGGCAGAGTAACTACCAATATGAATAAGATAGAGGAGAGGAGGAATTTTCTAAAGACCTGTACAGCAGCCGGGACAACTACGACCATAATGTAAGAACTAGAAGTAACCCGGATGATATCCCACTAGCAAGGACAGAAGTCAGGAAAGCTTTGTAGGGAATAAAAAGAGGTAAAGCTGCTGGTGAAGATCAGGTAACATTCGATCTGCTGAAAGATGGGGGATAAATTGTATTACGAAAACTAGCCACTCTGCTTACCACCTGTGTTCTCACGGGGAGGGCGCCAGAATCTTGGAAGATTACTAACATCATCTCAATCCGTAGTAAAGGTGACGAGAAGGACTTCAGTATTTACAGGCCAATCAGCTTGTTCCCCGTCTTACACAAGCTATTTACCAAGGTAATTGCTAACATAGTTGGCATTAGAATTCAATCAACCAAAAGATCAATCAGGATTTCCAACAGGGTGCTCAATAATCGAACACATTTATATTGTCAGTCAGCTGTTACGGAAATGCTGAGAATACACCTAACCACTATACATACCCTTTATAGATTACGAGAAACCATTTGAGTCAGTAGAGATACCAGCTGTCATGCAGACAATGCGGAATCAGTGCATCGACGAATCGTATATAAACATTCTGGAAGAAATCTGCAGAGGATTAACTGTCACATTACCATTCCGTGAAGAAAGAGACAAAATATCAATAAAGTAGGGTGTAAGACAAGGAATTTGATCTCTGCATTGCTGCTTAGCGCGTACTTAAAGGGGATATTCAGAGGCCTACCATGAGAAGCGTTAGGGATAAGAGTAAATGAAGAGTAACTCATTAACTTGCGCTTAACCGATGATATTGCATTGCTGAATAACCATGGCGAAGAATTGGAATTCATGACTACAGATTTAGACAGGAAGAGAAAAAAGTACGTCTTAAAGTTGATCCACAGAAAACAAAAGTAATGTACAACAACCTTGGAAGAGAACAGCGCTTCGAGATAAGTAGCAGCGCCCTTCCAGTATGAAGGAGTGCTTCTAGTTAGAACAGGTAGTAACACGGAGCCTAACCACGAGATTCAAGTAAATAACAAAAATAAAGGGGTGGAGCACAATTGGCAAGCTTTCTTAAATTATGATAGTAGATTTCCACTATCCCTAAAGAGGAATACAAAAAGCAGCTGCATCGCACCGGTACTGACCTAGGGAGCAGAAACCTGGAGTATTACAAGGAGGGTTCAGCTTAAATTAGGGTCCTAGCTTAAATTAGGGACATTGCAGCGAGCAATGGAAAGCGAAACGATAACTGTAACGCTAAGAGACAAGAGGATAACAGAGTGTACTGGGGAACAAACGGGTGTTGAGGAGATTGTAGTCGAATTCAAGAAGAAGAAATGGTCAAGGACAGGGCCCATAGTACGAAGGAAAGATTATCGCGGGTCATTAACAATCGCAGACTGAATTTCAAGAGACGGCCAGCAGGTGAAGGGAAAACAGAAAGTTGGATGGCCAACTTAGATAGAAAGTTTACGGGTATGAATTGGCGACAGCATGTACAGGACCAAGTCGGCTGGCGGAAAATGGGAAAGGCACTTGTCCTGCAGGGGGCGTAGTCTTACTGATGATGACGTTTGGACTAGGATGGCATGGATGGTGATTTTTTCGGTTCGATGACACATCAAGGCCTTCTCTTTATTATAGACGCACTATGCGACCCTCTTTCGAGTACCTATATTGTGGCTTCTCAGTTTATTTTCATAATTAATAATTCATGGGTTTCCCGTCTCAACAATATCATTATATAAAAACGTTGTATTTTAAAGGGCTCCCAAAATTTCGATCATCTGCGCTACTAGCATTGCACAGTGCACAAGCCTGTACCATTCCACCTTCAACAAACTGGAACCGCAACGCTCATAATCAAACCCATGACCTGGTGAGCAGCAGAGCACCCTAACTACTGGTACTCCTTCTATTTTTATTCTTTCAATATTTTTGCAAAAAGCGGTAACATTTTATGTGCACTTAGCTGCCCATTGATTGAAATGACGTTTAAATTTTTTTATGGATGCTTTTCAAATAAGGGTGAATATTGTTGTCAAACACGAAATTAACACTACAGAAAAAAAAACGTAGGAGTGCGTGGAGCTTGGCAAGATTGATAGAAACGATTTGTTTTATAATGTAGTGGAAGAATGTTTTTCCATTTACAAGATTGTTTCTTATATAGGCGGCGAGTATAACTGATTTGCATGAGGAATTTAGGTGCAACGTTGTTTTCCAGGAGGGACCGTATTGCGAGGGTCGTTGTCTACTACAACACGACCAGACTTCAAGATGACAACTACATCGACGTCGAGAGCGCCGTCGTCCACCCAAAGTACAGGAACTTGGACTCGGGTTATAACATCGCTTTATTGAAAGTATGTTGCCCGAATATTCAGAGGTTCGATGTATACCAGGAATCAGTAGTATCTGCCCGTTCACAAAAAGTCTTTAAAGGAATAGCTTGCGTCAATAGAAGTGCATATTAACTTTTTATAGTAGTGCCACAAGAGATCTCATAACCAAAAAGCCACGAATCATATAACAAGCGTAGGTTCTGCGCGTCATATATTGACTACGGCGGTAATATAGTGAGTGAAAGTGTACAACATATTTACAAACACATCACTGGACAGTAGCAATAAACACGTAAGCACATTTAGTTAAACACCTGTCTTTCTGGCTTGGCCCTTACGTCAGTCACACGATTGTGCAAACTGCATATGGTAGAATACATGGACAGACCTTAAGCATGTCGTGAAATAGCTGTTAGACGTCACCCGCAGATTTCGTGTGGTTTTCGAGATATTGCAACTTTATGCTGCGCCTTTTTTTTTTCAGCGACATACCACAGTATGTAGGTATATTTCGTAGCTCTACTCTTCAGTTACACAAGCAATACAATCGGCGCCCATCACAACTATGAAGGCAGTCTGTGTACCGTGTTAGCTAATGACAGTGAAAGCAGTGTGTACCAATACCCCTGGGATTAGCGGCTTATAATATATTGTTAGACTTCCTAACTGAAATGTGTATAAGCCGACAGAACAGTTAGTTCTTGAAGAAGTACACATGAGAGCTGGCGTGAATGTGAAAACCTTGTGAACCTCTCCTTGCCAACTCTTGAAGCCTATTATTTACAAGTGTTTCATGCAGTTTAGGAACATGTGTTGTTCTTCTTTTATTCTAAAAAGTGCCTTTAGGCATAACAATTACACTTAAGTATAATATGCGCCAACAGCACCTTCAGACTTGGCGAAACTATTTCTAATTTTTTTTATTTCATACGATGGTGCGCCTTGAACGGGAAAAAAACGATACTTGCTGAATTCAGCAGCACTCTTTGTTTTATAAAAAGAAACGAACCATTCATTTACAACGAAACTGTGTTTCTTTGCACAGCTGTCGAAGACCCATCGACAGATACGACAGGTTCGTGAGGCCTGTTTGTCTTCCTTGGCAAGGAAAACGAATCCGAGCTGGACAAATGTTGATTGCTGGATATGGTGCTGTTAACATGCGTAAGTGTTAGCACGACACTTCAGTCTTCAATATTACTATACCGATACAATTATAACGAAATCTTAAGCTTCTTCAGACTCATATATACGCATCGGTGGGCATTGTGACGAATAAAGAATCCCCACTGCTATGCCCACCGGTGATGATTCACTTCGTGCAGATGCGTAGACGTTTTCGCAGCACGAGTAACATTGAAAGGTGATGACTACAAAGTGTAGAAATTTACTCATTTCAGCACGACAGAACATTTATTGTACTGCGAAAAAATTCGAAGTGTTTTCTATCAGTCATGCTTTCCCTTCTGTTTTCAGAAAATAAACCATCTGACCACATCTTTTACTATATGGCAAATGTTTTGTCGGAGAGAAGTTGTAGCCTTGCAATGGCCCACCAGTGGAAGCGTATTAAGGCAAAAGTGTGGAATCTTTTTATGTGCACTAAGAACCTGTACCAAACGGCATACACGGTACGTATTTCGACTTGACGTGTTGCACAGCTGCTTTACTGCTAGCAATAGTGGTGAAACCATCGTTTTTTATGGGCATGGCTGCAACGCTTAAGCAACCATTGTAGAAATTCTCAGAGTTATTAGTTTAGTTTGCGGTTCTAATGCTATAAATTCAAAGCAAGTAAAAATGTTTCCATAATTTATAGTTCATTTTAGAGGTCAGTATTCTTCGACCCGCCAGGTATTACTTTGCTTCCAATGAATAAACGGTTGGACCAAGTGTTTTACTACTTAGGTATTATTTTGCTTGAGAAAAGTTGCAGCCTTGTAATTCACCTGCAGTGGAGGCAATATAAAATCACTACATAAACACTTGTGAAATGCCTGTACATCGAGTCATGCGATATTTCCCATCAATACAGTTCAACAGCCTCCTCAATTAACATGTGATAGGTATCTGCAGAGAGCGAGAATTTCTAATAAGATAAAAAAATCAGACCTTTTGTCAGAACATTTTACGTTCAATGTTTCGTTCATCTCGGTACTTCTATCAGCGAAGCTGTTGTGTGAAGCGAAATAGCGCAACCAGGTGTGACATAAAGGAGTTTCAGGGGACAAGAGCCATTCTATTATTATCGGTTCAGTGTACGTGGCGTATTCTTTGCTGATCGCGCAGAGTAATGCATTGACAAAAGTCGCGTCTCCTGAGCGAGGCCGCTGTGACTGAAAGGGGTTCTCTTCGGAGGCTCTCACTTATTAAGTAAATACACAATGTAAACGTCACAGCTTAATCAATATTCGGTAGCAGCCGAAATATATGGTTAGAAAGAATAGCCACTTATGCTAGCACAATGCAAACGTTTCCATATCATAATGCTCGTAAGCGTTAAGGCCTGATTACACTGCGTATTCGTTGCCGCAAGTCAGCGCGTGCCTTTTGAAGGTGGCGCCGAGGCATCTCTCAAATGAAGGGAGAGAGCGCATAGCTTCGCTTAGTCGCCCAGCTCTATCTCTCCATTGGAGAGATGTGGGTGGGTGACTACTGTTCGAATGTAACTATGCCAGGTTCAAGGAAACACACCCCGACGCACTGCAAAGCATACTTGTGGTCACGCTTTTAATATGCTCAGCGCATGACATGTAGAGTAAACGCTACGCTTTCACTTTATAGTGGGAGAGGGCGTGCGGCGACGCAAAGCTGCAAGTCCTCTCTCCTCACAAGGAGATGGCGCGGTTAGGACTTCCCAGCCCGTTCACCCCATGTTCGGTCATTCTCTGGATACTCCCTAGACAATAAAGTTTTGTTTATATGCGTACACAAGCTGCTCTAGGCATGCTTTCACTGTTTCTTTTTTTTTTCGCATGGTTAGTCTATAAGAGCATTAATGGTTTTGGATTGATGCAGGGTGACTCTGGAGATCCGGTGACAGCCGTTTCCGGGGGGAGATCCGTTCAGTACGGCATCGTAACGTTCGGGCAGACGCAAAATCGCGGACCGGCCCCTGTTATGCACACAAAGGTTTCCATGTTCATTGACTGGATAAACGATTCACTGGACAGAATAGATCGATGGAAAAGACTTAAGCACCCTTAACAAGTACAGTACAGTCCAAGCGCCTCAGTTTGTCAGATTGTCGAAAATACCACAATGCTCACTGTGTGGTCACTCCTATAGAGCCAGAATAAAATGGTTTTGAAATGGTTTATAAGCGTGATTTTTATATGCCCACTGAATTTAGCATACAAAAAGTGTTTATTTTTATCGAAACGGGTGCTGAAGGCTACGGTAATGCAAAACGAAGAAAAATAGGTGTATTATTCTATAAAAAAAAGTTTTCCCGTTTAATACCTTAAATAATGTACATGTCATCTTTCTATCGCTGTGCATGTAAAAATTTTAGTGTTGAACGTTGTTGTAATCGAAAATAATGAACATATACGAAATTCCCGTAACGTGGAACGTGTTTAAAGAAGAGAGCTCCGTATAGAACTCTGGGTTTAGTACGAAAGGAAATATTTATACCATATGAAGATACCTCGACAAATTTATTCTTGCATCCTGTGCGCTTACTTGCGGTCAGCGGTCCCAACAATGGCAGCCTTTTTACTATCTGTGGTTTTATTAGGTCTTTGAGGTTTCAGAACTAAGCTCTTAGCCTCTCGTTGGAACTGGCATGGAAATCCAGAATATTGAACACCCACGGAAAGCGTCAAGAAGTGGTTAGGTGGCAGTGTGCAAGTTCTTTCAAAGGAATGCACTGACTTCATCGTGCGATGTGACTACGTCACAAAGACATGATTGCGTGGCGTGACGTCAAATTTCGTTACATATTCACATAATGTCACGAGGTGTTATTGCAAAAAAAACGGCAATCTAATCACTCAACGCAACGTCTCACATAAACGACATAATCACACCAGCATTAGTGCGTTGAATTGTTGCTTGATGTCTGATGCGCTGAGGCAATCACGTTACGTCATCAGATGAAACGTGGCGTAACCTCTTGTTGAGGTGAGTTTTTGTACCATTTTATGTTATGTCGAATTTTTCCGCACATAGACTTTGTAATGATGTCAGAATTGCAAAGAATGCTCCCATCAGTAGTTGTTTTGCACCAACTTTACTGGCGTGCTCTAAAACAAAACAGCTGTGATGGCGATTACATTCTGAATTCGTAAGTATCGCTGTGTCCGGAAAACCAATGAACTCCTACTTGACTGTGACGTAAGGAGAATCGATGTGAATCATCAATGCGTAAAACAAGTAGAACGTTATTCTTTGTGGTGTGTTTGTAAACACGATCACATGTCCCCCAGCCGCTTGCATTCATCACTCGGTTAAAATTCACAGTTAAGATGGCGACTGCTTTGGAACCTTACGAATGGTGTTCTAGGAGTACAAAATAAAAGTCGGTGGTTCATCAAATACTTTTCTGAAATATTTTGTTTGCGAAAACAAAGCCATTTGTAGGACTGGCAAAGAGGGAGCGATGCACCATGCCCGCCATTGTGCTCGACTTGCAACACTTACTGCGATAATAAACCCTGTTTGTTTAAACGTAGAGAACGTGTCTGAGGTCTAACATACTTCTGTGAAGCATTGCATCATTTAGGTTGCCCACATGTCAAAGCGGATGGTATGGCGGTGCAGCATAAACAATCAACAAGAAGAAACGAAGTGTATCAGCTGCTTTCAATGTTTTGAAATGTGGGGCATTTCCAAAAACACTTTGACTCGTTCTATCTCTCTCTCTCTCTTTCTCTCTCTCTCTCTCTCTCTCTCTCTCTATATATATATATATATATATATATATATATATATATAGTGGGAGTAATAATTCAATGGGCCAGTTAGTCTTCGTGAAGGTATAAGATATGGCACGACGGGAGCGTTGTCAACAAGGATAAATATATTTATTTCCCAACAGTTTCGGGAGGGGTCCTCCCTTCATCAGGGGATGAGTTATACTGACAAGAGCTTCCAAACTTCGTTGCTGCCACGTCCCTCTCGCCTTGAAAAATGTTTGCGAGAATGGGAGGGAACTAGAAAAAGAAAAGAAAACAAAAAGGGGGAGAAAAAAGACAAAAAAGAAAAAGAAAGAAAAGAAAGAAAGTGAAAAAGAGAGAGAACCACTGTCAACACTGAGAACGAGGTCAACTGTTCGTCTACATCCACATACGGTTCATATCATGTGCTGTTCAGTTCTTGACGTGTGTCGGGCCACCCAACATTGTCGCCGCGGTGCCGGGAGGGTCCGTGCAAATATATATATATATATATATATATATATATATATATATATATATATATATATATATATATATATATATATATATATATATATATATATATATATATATATATATATATATATATATATATATATATATATATATATATATATATATATATATACTTGAGGAACAAAGCAATTCAATGTCTATGTAAGCCCACGGACAGCGCGAATTCATATCGCCGCGCGGCAGCGCTGAGCATCGGCGGCTTGCAGATTAGCGAAAAATTGGGAGAGAAACAATGAAGGAAAATCTTGCCTCCAACCATACCTACAATATGCACATCGTCGTACGTGTAATTTCGCCGAGGTATAGGTAAAACTGGCAGCGAAGGCCCCACAGAAGCCCGTACGCTCAGAAAATGGCGGCTGATCAGTTGCTCATTGGGCTTAGCACGATCTGTGTGAGGAGGGAACATTTCCGGTGAAGCAGGAAATAAAGCGGATGTGAAGCAATAGCTGGTACACAAGTGACGTCATTTTACTTGCGCTTGCGCGAAAGTTGAAGTCAAATTACTTTTTATACCCCCTGATCACTAAGGAATGGCGTAAAGGCAATAGCCGGTGAGTCCTGCACGAGTGCATGTCAAGTCAGCGCCAGCTAATCTGATACCTACTCACGACTACTTAGTGATGTTGAAGTGTACTACCGTCCACTTAGCCTCGGTTTCACAGGGAAACCTATTCTTCGAACTTTTCGATGTTCGTGGCATCTTCCGTAGATGAATTAGAGCAACCAATAGCGTATACCTGCCATCTCTGAAGCGTTGCTTACTAGCTTCACACACATACAGGTTCTTTAGCATGTACAATGCTTGTGTTCTTCAGTTTTAACAGGAAGAAACGAAGACTAGTCACACGAATATTATGACATTACAGTTTTATACGACGTTCACAATGGCTCTAATATAACATTGCACATAATTGTAATAAGCACAATACAAATCTGCGGCCACTACTTTCGTTGTTTTCTTTTTGTATTATGCTATAATAAATTACCGCTATACGCGAATTGTAGCCTGATAGATAACATGACAATCTGCTCGCCGATAACGCGAATAATAGTTGGCACTTCATGTTGAAGAAGGAAACCGGGCCGCAAAAATAGTGATGCATGGAAGTCCAGCGAGCACTGTTCTCCGAACCAAAACGCCTGTTTCTTATCTAGGAGACGTGGGTCACCAGGCAGGCATTCGCCTTTTCGCAACTGCATCCTTGTACAGCACATCGTTTCCGCAGGTACCGACGTAAGCAGTCGGCATTGAATGTAATCCAGAGGCGTCGTGCCGCTTCCCGTTGAACACTGCACTCAAAGCGTTCATGAACGATGAAACGCCCCTCCCGATTTCGTGAACTGCAGAGAAAGCAAACAAGTACGGAGCACGAAAACACTTCAGAGGGTGCGTCTGATTGCACACTAATTTTATGAGCCTGCCTTTTCATACAGTGCAAGTGCTGCACTGAGTATTATTAGCGTGACCAGAGGGCGCTAGAAAAGTATTTGTCGTAATAATAAAGAACTGTCGTAAATTTTCTGCTCCTTATACCTACATAATATTGCTGAGGGAAAAGTATGCAATTTGTAAAGCATAGTAAGTGTTTAGACCTTGAGTCAAACTTCGTTTTTCACTATTAGTGTTTGTTGCCTTCACGCGCAGTGGCGCCTGAATCGCCACTGCAATAACTCCCCATGATGACGTCGTTGGCAATGGCTTCTGAAGCACTTTTCACCGGAACATTCGCGACCTATTCGAATAGACCTTGATATCGCTTCACTGCAGTGACACTGACCTCTGTGCCTATAGTAATGCCGGTGTTACGTGGGACCGCGACACACGCAAGTGTAGTCGGCTTGCCAGGTAAGCTGAATAACTGACCTCGATGAACTTGGTATGACGCTTGGCTGAATTGCGAATATTCGGCTGAGATTACTTATACTTCCACTCACTGAATACTACTTAACATGAAATGCTTTACTAGAATGCCTCACATCTGCGAAATTTTCATTCAGCAACAACGAGATTGTCTGTGATTGATTTTGAAAGAAAAAAAGAAATGGAGTGGACTATCTTATCTCTTTCTTAACCCGTGGGTCTCGCTTGTGATTGAGTGTAACCGTACGCTATGCTGATGAGCGAATGTCTCACGACGAAACGAATACATAAGGAATCACCGCAATTACCGGTGGCTGGTCTGATAATAATATCCGTGGGTTTATGTCCCCAAACCACGATATGATTATAAGCGACGTTGTAGTGGAGGGCTCTGACAGTTTCGGCCATCAGGTGTTCTTTGACGTGCACAGATATAGCACAGTACGCGCGGCTCTACAGTTCTGCGTCCATGAAAATGCGACTGCCGCGACCAGGGTCGAACGTGCGTCCTTTGGTTTAGCAGCCGAGATCTCTGCGGCGCACAGCGGGCAGTCTGGAGGCAGCCGCTCTAGCACGCTGTTATATTTCGCCGTCGCCGAGCGGTGAATATTGGCTTCCTTTCGGACGCAAGTCAGCCCATCAATCACTCTTATTTTATTGTGGTTGTGTTCTCCCTCTGTACTGGCCTGTGCACCGACCAGCGCACAAGCACGTACGTGACAGAGGGTGGAAGCACGGGATAGGTGTCCCCATAGCTCTTATGGCCCTGCGGTACGGCGCATGAACCTTATCGCTTGCAGAGCTGCGCCCTTCAGCGCAGACCTATATAATGCCTCAGATTCGACGCTTAAGCCACGCTGTTCATCGCAAAAGCACGGCCACAAGGGTGAAAACCGCCTTAGTGAAGCGTACAAACAATTAGGACGTTCGCTGCCATGCTCCCCATGTATGTACGTCGACGTTGGGCACGAGGTATGGGATAAAGTTCTTATGTACGTCACGTTAGCGTAAACCACAGCATCACAGGAC